CTGTCCTTTTTTTGCGTTTCCTTGTGCAGGACATTTATTGTCCAAAACACACATCCAGCACTTGGATTCGCTGTGCATGTTTTCGACATGATTAACTGGCCACAGGTGCTGGCTCACGAGTTGACAATGGGCTTCTTGGAAGGGGTTAATTTGGCTAATAAGCTAATGCGTGTAGAAACCATTCAACCCCTTAGTCAGACATCTGATTTCTTCAACCATTCAAACCCTGAGTTCATTACAACACTTAGCATAGGAGCTCCTCCATGGAGCTCATAGTGGCCTTTGCGGTGGGAGTCACAGGAATTCTTTGTTGCGCAACCTCCAGCAACCAAGCAAGGTTCAAACAAGTACTACCTGTCTGGAATTCTCAATGCAAAGACGCCCTGACCAACACCATAAATGTTCGGCCTTTCAAGGCCCTTTCTTGACCCAATTGCCCATGAAGCAATCTGTCTAGAGCTGCCGTTGTAGCAAGTCCTTCCAGTAGCTTCTAGGAGCAAGGACGCTACTAGGGGGGGCTCCTGGCCTTACTACTAGGAGCAAGAACGCTACTAGTAACAAAGGGCATCGCTACTAGGAACAAGAAGCTACTAGCTGAATCTCCAGACGGGTCCACAACTCGCTTTGTGTTGATTGTCCTGTCGTGTGTTTTAAGATGTGCATTCCGTCGTGTGTTTTTGGCCTTTGGCAATCCGTCTAGGCTACGATCACTTGGAAAACATGCAGCTCCTTGCTGTGGGCGATGTGCCGGTGCTAAATTTGCGCCATGCCATGGAGCTCACGGAAGCCTGTGAGGGGCCTCTCGCCTGCTTTTTGGCAGTCCAGGGAAGCGAGTTTTTTTGGTGTGGCTAGACATTCAGGCCATACTTGCGCTTCAACCTGCAGCAGAACCAGGTGCCTTACACTTCCTTCACAGCTGTTGAGAAATCTTTTTGCGGTAGAGCCTCGGGCAGGTCCTGATTCTTCGCGCTGCAGAAGCTAGGAATGCCACAGCCGAGGTGCTGGAGAAGCAACTTGGACGATGATGACCTATGATGAACCCAGACCTTCCTTGTTGTCCGATATGTTTTTCAAGGTGCCCCCCGATATTTCACAACTTGACTTGAATCCACTCTGCTCTTTGGGGGCCTTACGTTCTCCGTTGTTTGCACATGCAACAGTTAATCAACACAACTTCCAGACGAGGCACGGTATTCCACAAGAGAAGAGCCCCGATTTGACCCTTGGCAGTTGGAGAGTATCGATGTACTGAATACAGTCAACCGAATCTAATCCATCCATGTTCAACCTTCACTTTCGTGGACGGAGTGGAAGAGACTATATATATAAATGTACTTTTACATTTTTGTTTAAGGGGGGGTAGGCCGCTAGAAGAGGAAGAGGTAGTCGTAGCTAGGTAGGTAGCTAGTAGAAGAGGTAGCTAGTACCTACAAGTAAGCTACTACATATGGACGCAGAATAGCTCACGCTTCTTCAAGGAATCAGGAAGCTCCTGAGGGCGGGGAGCTGCCTTGAAGAAGCGCTCGCACTGAAGAAGAGCCCCTAGTACTAGTACCGAACATTGTTTCTAGTAGTACGGCCCCTAGTAGCTTCCTTGCTCCTAGTAGCGATGCCAGGAGCCCCTAGTAGCTTCTTGTTCCTAGATTTTTAGGGACACTTAACATGTTTATTACTGTCATTCCAAAACGTGCAACTCAACAAACTCCAGATTGAGAAGACTGAGGATGGGCGAAAGCTCGAAGCAAGTGAAGTGAGAGCAAGTCTCTTAGTCCTCTTGACTGAAGACTGTACACGTCAATCTAAAGCGGTACAACGAAGAGTGATCGTAACTTCGCCTTCAAAGGGGAGGCCAGAGTGGCTAGTCGGCTGCGAACCATTCAACGCGTCCAATGTGACCTGTATGAACTAGAGGAGGACAGCTGCAACTCAGAGGCAACTCAGAGGATGACAAAGTCCATGAAAAAAAATCTTGGCCATCCTTGGTCTGTGTTCCCGAGCTCTTGATCCTGGAAGTTAGACCGGAGTGACACAGTTGTCTTGATGAAATGCTGAATGCAAAGCACTTGCTGCTATGATCTGATAATGTTGTTTGTCTCCGGGGGAAAGCACCTGAGATGATGACAAAACCTACCTTGGTCCGTGTTCCAGAGCTTTCG